CCCACCTCCTTCAATCGCAAATATTTCAACTTGTATTCAAGATAAATGGGCAATTTTTTCACAGAAAGCGAGACAAATGAACATGCTTTAGGAAAATGTCCTCCATATGCCCAAAAATTGACAAACACCTGATTCCATCATGTTGTGACCCATACACATATATAATATACTGAGGCAAAGTAGAAAGCGGTACTTGCCATTTTAACCCTATCCGTACGCCCGTGGTCATTTTGTACCCCAGGGGTTGCATTCTTCACATTTTAGAATACTTCTAGTGCGAAGACCTCTTTGAAGCTTTCAGTATTTCTAAAAAAATCATTTTGACAGACTGCTGCGCAAAGCATACGGATCGGATTAACTAGTAAATTTCCTCTTTGAAAAGTGGGGGCACAGAGTTCACCACATCATATGGATACGATAGTAAAACACGATGTACAGATAGGGTTAACAATGAACACAACTGGGGTGAAAAAACCTATTCATGTTTTCAATTACTGATAATGTAAGCGTTTTAAAGATACATTGACACAGTTTAGATCATTTACAAGGCAGGCTTCTTGGCTGAAAGGGATACAACATCCCAGAAGAAAAAAGTAAGATACTCAATACAAATTCTCCCCACTCCGAAATCAAATTCAGGTCTTCCATGTATGAGAGTGAAAAGCCTAGATCTAACCAGTCGGATAAAATTGCTTTTGTTTAAGTAGTGGTTTTACGGCACTCGCAACTGCATAAGGTCATATGAGCGCCAGAAGATTAGAGGTGTTACAAGAGAGTAACAAACATAAAAAAGAAGGGGAGATAAGGACGATAGAGGTTTCATAGGAAAGATGAAGCAAACCACACCAGAGCATGCATTTTCCACGTTATGCATAATTTCAGCATAAAAAACTGGTGAATTTCATAGCATACAATGCTATAGCAAACATAATTGCGTTTTTTCCGAACCATACATTACTTAAGTGTACAAGTATAACGATGGTTATCTCCTAATAATAATAGATAGCATTTGTATAGCACAAATCCCCGCTCAACAGCATGCTCTATGAGTTTAACAATCTGTACTACAACAAATTGCTGAGAAAAAAACAAAAATAAACAAAAACCAATACACTTGTCATAATACATGTAAATGTAACTGCAGTGTAAAAATCTGCGGAAAAAAAACCACAACAAAAACTATCATGGCATAAGCACGTTCAATATGGTGGACTAGATACAGATGAACCTGTCTACGACAACTGTCCACTGCCAAGGCCAAGGAGAACGGTGGTCATCTTAGACAGGCGGTTATCTTGGTCAGTGTCATTATAACATTATGTGTGGCATTGTGGTAAAACCAGGAGCTCATCAGAATAATAAAATCCTCCCCC